AGATACAATGAAGGAACGGATAATCAAAACTCATGAAACATCATGATAAACTCAAGAAATCGGTGGGAAAAACTGATGAAATCCAATGATAACATACCATTTCTTTTAATTGTGGTATCCTCCATTTGTTTGGTTTCAAGGTTCCGAGGTTCCATCATTCACACGTTTCCCCAGATGGGGGTAGTTTTGATTTCCAAGGCCGATTCATCAAACAAAATTGACATAAATATTTTTCAGTGCTTCGCACTTTCAGGTTTTCCCATGTTTTGATGTTTTGTATGTATATAGATTTCTTGAAACATATTTGATTTGTTTGAATAATATATATATATATATATATATACGTATATATGTATATATATATATACATTTGTTTATTTATTTATTTATTTGATGAAATATTTTGATATAGTAAGGAAACCCACCCACCAAACCCCTTTACCCCCCTGAGCAGTTCCTCGTCGACTTCAGCCAGAGTGTGGGTCTCGAGCTCGTGAATTATTAAATAAACCTTCCCATTACCATTTAACCCCTTTTGTGGCAGGGTGCAGTGTTGTTCCGTGGCTAGGCACAGACACGGTATGCATAGCATACATTATTTCCTGCATTAATAGTTCGGGTATTTGTTGAATGCAAAATGGCATTTGCAGTGTCAAAACTGATATAGGGATTTTGCATCGCAAGTTTGATGATCGTCTTGAGGGAGTTTTCGGATCTCTTTGAAACACTAGACGACGGATGGCCCGAGAGCGTAGAGGAGCAGGGTCTTCTCTTGTAAGTATGGAGACACCATATTACAAAACAATATATTAAAGACGTGTTTTAGGCAGTCGACAAAAGGAGCATCAAGACTATATAGCATGTACAAGACAATAGTTTGCATCGCAAACACTTTTCCACACAGAAGCTTTTACACACAGACGTTTTTACACACAAAAGTTTTTACACACAAAAGTTTTTACACACAGAAGCTTTTACACACAAAAGCTTTCACACACAGAAGCTTTTACATACAGCCACTTTCACACACACACGCTTTTACACACAGACGCCTGTACACATGGACGCTTTTACACACAGACGCTTTTACGCGCAGACGCTTTTACACACAAACATTTTTACACACAGACGCTTTTACACACAGACGCTTTTACACACAGGCGCTTTTAAACACAGAAGCTTTTACACACAGACGACACTTTTACACCGAGACCCTTTTACACACAGAAGCTTTTACACGCAGACGCTTTTACACACATACGCTTTGACACATAGACGCTTTTACACACGGGCGCTTTTACACACGGGCGCTTTTACACACAGACGCTTTTACACACAGACACTTTTACACCCAGACGGTTTTACACACAGACACTTTTACATACAGAAGCTTTTACACGCAGACGCTTTTGGGACCACACAGTTCGGTCATTCTGAGAGCATTTCCACACACAGACTTATTTACGCACACACACACACGCACTCGCTTTTACACGCACACGCTTTTACACACAGACACTTTTACACGCAGACGCTTGTACACGCAGACGCTTTTACACGCAGACGCTTTTACACGCAAACACTTTTACACACAAACGCTTTGACACAAAGACACTTATACACAAGAGAAACTTTTACACACAGACGGCTTTACACACAGACGCTTTTACACACAGAGGCTTTTACACACAAAAGATGTTACACACAGAAGCTTTTACACAGACGCTTTTTACACAAACGCTTTTACACACAGAAGCTTTTACACACAGACACTTTTACACACAGACACTTTTACACACAGACACTTTTACACACACACGCTTTTACACGCAGACACTTTTACACACAAACGCTTTGACACAAAGACACTTTTACACAACAGAAACTTTTGAACACAGACGGCTTTACACACAGACGCTTTTACACACAGAGGCTTTTACACACAGAAGATTGTACACACAGAAGCTTTTACACAGACGTTACACAAACGCGTTTACACACAGAAGCTTTTACGCACACATGCTTTTACACTTTTACACACAAACCCTTTGACACAAAGACACTTTTACACAACAGAAACTTTTACACACAGACGGCTTTACACACAGACGCTTTTACACACAGACACTTTTACACACAGTCACAGAAGCTTTTACACACAGAGGCTTTTACACACAGAAGATTGTACACACAGAAGCTTTTACATGCAGACGCTTTTACACAAACGCTTTTACACACAGAAGCTTTTACACACAAACACCTTTACACAAGAAGCTTTGTACACACAGAAAAATCGCAATTTTACCTCAGTTTTTGGCGATCGAACCTCGTTTCGTGCGAAAGGGTTGCAACGGGAACCCGAAAATCGCAATTTTACCCCAGTTTTTGACGATCGAACCTCGTTTCGTGCGAAAGGGTTGCGCGGGACACCTTCAAATCGCAATTTTACCGCAGTTTTTGGGGATCGAACCTCGTTTCGTGCGAAAGCGTTGCGCGGGACACCTTCAAATCGCAATTTTACCGCAGTTTTTGGGGATCGAACCTCGTTTCGTGCGAAAGGGTTGCGCCGGACAAGTTGAAATCGCAATTTTACCGCAGTTTTTGGCGATCGAACCTCGTTTCGTGCGAAAGGGTTGCAACAGGAACCCGAAAATCGCAATTTTACCCCAGTTTTTGACGATCGAACCTCGTTTCGTGCGAAAGGGTTGCGCGGGACACCTTCAAATCGCAATTTTACCGCAGTTTTTGGGGATCGAACCTCGTTTCGTGCGAAAGGGTTGCGCCGGACAAGTTGAAATCGCAATTTTACCGCAGTTTTTGGCGATCGAACCTCGTTTCATGCGAAAGGGTTGCGTTTCGTGCCGTCTCGTTGGCACTGCCCCTGCCCCCGCCTTCAGAAGAGAAATAGAAAAGAAGGAGAGAGCAAGAGGGCAAGAGGGCAAGAGGGCAAGAGGAGAAGATGTGAAGATGTGAGGATGTGAAGATGTGAAGATGTGAGGTGAGAAGATGTGAAGATGAGAAGATGTGAAGTGAGCAGGTGTGAAGATGAGAAGGTGTGAAGATGAGAAGATTTGAAGATGAGAAGATGTGAAGATGAGAAGATGAGAAGATGTGAGGTGAGAAGATGTGAAGATGAGAAGATGTGAAGTGAGCAGGTGTGAAGATGAGAAGGTGTGAAGATGAGAAGATGAGATACAGACCCCCACTATTGGAAGAACCCTGCGCTCACACGCTCTCGGGAAAAAACACTACTTGGGGAGGGGCAACTACAGACATATATATATATACATATATATATAAATGACATATAATTGAACCTAAAAATAAAACAATTACACAAGATCAAAATTGATGAAAACATATATCGCAATAAAGACTATGCAAAGACAATGCCAAAAGGATATATACATATATACAACCTTTGCCTCCGATATCAACACCAGAGCACAAAAGTAATCCATCCAGGAACACTGTTTTTGATACATGCCTTTTCTAGTTCATCGTTGGACCTCTCTCCCTATATATATATTGACTATATCATGAACTATCAGTTCATTGTTGTACAACTTTGTTGAACGTTGTACAACTTCGAAAATGTGAAAACAACCGAACCAAACAATAAATAAATAAATCTCAACGCAGGTCTGGACGCGGCAGACGGTTGTATTCGTATACGGAAAGAATGCAACCTTGTATAGCATTATGTGGAAGTCATCTGTACATATATATATATGTATGTATAGATTTTCATTTTCATTACAGCAGCTGACTTAGAACCACCAAGTCTTGCTGCAGTATATTTGGTTCAAAGCAAGTAAAAAAAATATATATATATTCACATATGTGTTTGACACTTACTAGCAGTTTAGCAGGGCCGTTTTTCTATCGCTCACCATGGAAGGGAATGAACTTAAGATAGGAATCAGCTCTATGTCACTTGGGCCTAATGCCACCAGTAAACCTCGGCAAACCTGACAAGCTCAGCGAACACCGGCAAACCCGGCAAACCCAGCAAACCCCGGCAAACCCGGCAAACCCGGCAAACCCGCAAAAAACAGAGGAAAGTACCGGCAGTTTGCATACACTCGACTTAGAATCGTGCTAAATGGCACGAACCGAAACGACAGAATTTCTCACACCCTGTTTTTCACCTTATATATGTTATATATATATATAATATATAATTCATATTTAGATAATATAGTTATAGTATATTGCAACATATATAATCATATATATACACACCTTATATTAAATAAATATAACATATTTATATGAGTGATATTGTTGTGTGCCTCAAAAATACGGATGTGTGAATGCTTGCACATGTGAAAAACTGTAAAGGTAAAGGGAAATCAATCAATGCGATCTCAAATTGAAGTAAAGAATTGAACACAGCACCGTGCAGTATAATATAAATATGGTGTGTGCCGTGACCAAAATTTAGATAAAGACTTAGAAACACATACATGGCACACATTAACAATTTTCTATCTGTGATTTTTGTGTTTTTTTGAAATGGAGAACCATCAGAATCAACATGCTCGGGGATATTTTTTGCATTCAAGGCACTCATCACTTTTGTCTGTGCCGTGCGTGTAAGTGTTTATTATCCTTGCATACTCTCTATACAGTTCATGCGTCACATCCATATGGCAGGATGAACACAGTTGCAACACCAGGCCGTATATCCATATGGCAGGACAGGCCAATTCATCCCACTGCCACCCCTACCAGCGTACTGGGGGGGAGGTCGTGGGCCGAAACAGAAGAGCTTGACAGCCCAAACAGCAGCAGACAAGACATGTTTCATGCCCTTCATGCAAACTGTCGAGGCGACACCCATGCATAAAAGGCACTCATCACTTTTGTCTGTGCCGTGCATGTAGGTGTTTATTATCCGTGCATACTCTCTATACAGTTCATGCGTCACATCCATATGGCAGGATGAACACAGTTGCAACACCAGGCCGTATGTCCATATGGCAGGACAGGCCAATTCATCCACGTGCCCCTGTGAACACAGCTCGACACGCCATCAGCGTGTTGAAAGCCAGGCACGGTACGAAGCGACCAGCCGGCTGGTCCTGGGGGTGGCAGTCAGGTGAGGCAGCTGCGCGAGCGCATCACAAAGGTAAAGACGGCTATTGAAGCCCATCTGCCGCGAAGGAGTGTTTTCTCCATGAGGCCACAGTCTTTAAAATAAGAAGTAGCTCCTCCTCGACGGAGGCTATAACATCTGAAACCTAGGTGCTCCACGTGAAAGAAAGAGCACAGTGAGTAGAACGAGGTGCGAAAGGCCGTTCCAGACTTGGTCCAGATAGGTACCTTCATCATTCCCTGGGCCTTTTTAAGGGCATAGAGTTCGTGCAGAATATCTACCACAGTGACATCAAAGATTGTGACCGATTCAGACAGCTTGTGTCTAGTCTTCCCCTTTGACACGGGGAGGGTCACGATTCCGCTGTCTTTTCCCAGGAGAAGGTCACACGGCCGAACTGCCAGAGCTTCACCTGTTCTGAGAAAGCAGTGAAAAGATAATGCCAAGAGACACCGTGAGACCATTGCCCAAAGCAGATCTTGCGTGAGCGGTGGGGCCCGAGAAGGCACTTCAAACCGTCGCCAGGTAGCGAACAGTTTCCAAGAAGTAGGTAAGCGCTTTTTGGTGCTGCGCATGAAGTAATGCAATCCGCTCAACGCGTCTGCAACGAGATTGATGGGGGCTCCCTTGGTGAAAACTTCTTCAATCCAATCACTGACCACCTCATCCAACCCTTCCAGAGAATCGCAAGATTCAATGTGTGGGTAGAGCTGCGAAACCGCATCATAGTAACGAACCTGTGTCTTTTCAGAAATTCCGACATCCCTCAGGGTGATCCCCTTACGGGCTGCCTTTCTGGCTTTGCGCGTGCGGAGTCCCGCAAAAACACGGGGTCGAACCATGGCTAGATGCGACTGGCCTCGTCTGTTGGGTTCTCGGTACTCTCCACGTGGATGAGAACGGGAAAAAGTCCAAACCCAAATTGAAAGGCAGCAATCTGCTTCATCACAGACATCAACATGGTACTGCTTGAACGACCCTTTGAGATAACTGACAGGGAAACATAGCTATCAGTAAGGTGAATGAACCTGCACTCACTTTCGCAAAGGTGCCGGACCCTCCATTTGAAAGCCAGAAGGATGCTGCGCATTTCCAACCGGTTGATGTGTTCCCGGGTACTCCATCTACAGTGAAAAACATGCTTCCATGCCCACCAGTCCGGACTGGCTGATTGTCTCGGAAAAGCTTTGGGATTCATCACCCTACCTGTGGTTACCCTTACGTCGCTCCCTGTGTGATTCACCCGTGTGAGGAGTATTCTGGTAAGGTCACCCACAGAAATAGTGGGGTCCCTGCACCCACCGTAAGACAAGGCACGCTGTAGAGGGCAAGTAAGAGACACATGACATGAAAACCCCGGGGCGAGCCCCATCCTCATAGCCAGATGCTCGTACGTCACTCTAGGACAGAGCTCACGGCAAGCTCCCCAACTGAAAATGACAAAAGAATACATGCTGAAACTGTCGCCCACGAAACTGCACCTGACATCCTCATACGCCTGGGCGTCGTGCTTGATGTTGCTGGCGGACATCGCCAATGCTGTATGTTCAAAGCCATACCCATGGAGGAGCTCTCGCTCACTGGCGCTCAGGAGTTCAGGAGTCTCCAGCCTTGTTCACTCCAGATGACATACTGGCGTTTGTATTGGTAAGGCGGGTAGGCAAAATTGTCACTTTCCCACCTAGCCGCAGCGGAGCTTGGAGTGCGACTGAGTCCTGCCGGAGCGGGAGGTGGCTGGTGCCGTCGTATGCACTTCATGCAGGTGGGAAAAACTTCGCCTTCATCAGCGCCATCCCACCTGTGGCCCTCCGTGAGCCGTTGATCAAGCTGGGGATAAGGCGCAGGGGCCTCAACATCAATGTAATATTCCTTCCGGCTCACAAAGACACCTGCCAGCAGGGGCAATTGTAGGTTGGTCCAGCAGTATCTCGGCCTTGAGATGGGGACCGCCTGGGAGCACTGCAGGCGATATGGGATCACTCCCAATGCCTGACTCACCTCCTCAGCAGCTGATCTATCCATGCTTGCCACGTTTTCAACAAAGAATAGTATCTTGAAATTTCTCCCAAAGATCTTTCTGAGAAGTTCCAGGACTCGCAGGATTTCTCGGAACAGCCCGCTCTGAGGCCCAGCCAAGTTCTTCCGCATGTAACGGACTGAGGACAAGCCCACGCATGGGAAGCCCCCCCACAAATGGATTTCCACTATGTGAGGGTATTTCAATGACCAGGAGACAACCACCTTTTCGTCAATCTCTCTCACATCCCCAAACAGCTCGGCATGCGGCCAGCGCCTGGAGCAAACCCTGTTCGCCGGCTTGGAAATGTCGTAACCTATAAGCCCTGCTGGCTCGACCATAGGCGCGGAACGCCCCGCCTATCCCGTTGAACAGGGACACCACCAAGAGCGGCGCCTTCACAGGCCCATGGCCCTCACTCAAAGTGCAGCTTGCAAAATCCTCCCCAGCGCTCGTCAAGGCAGAGGCAGCACCAACGGCTCTGCCAGTACCTGAAGCGTCAGAGGCAGAGGCAAGGTTACTGACACTGGCCCCCAAGTGGGTATGCAGCAACACCTCTAGCCTTGGCTTTCTGACCTGCAGTCAGAGGTTTCTTGCTGATCCACTGCCAGACCTTATCTAAACATGCCATACCAGCCCTTCGGAACTGCAGCACATGGACCCACCGGCCCAAAATCACTTGGAGCCATTTTACTGGCACAAAATCCCTTGACAACACCAGGCACGACGACTGAATCAGCTGGCAGAGTCTTTGTGGACTACCGCCTAGCCATTGACCCTCACCGTCAAAACACGCCCCCAGCTCCAGGGCCTGTTGAGCTCCTACTACTTTCTTCTTCTCGGCTGACAACACTCCAGCTTCAGCCCAGGCCTGTTCAGCCTCAGAGCGGCGCGAAGCAGCCCAAAAGGGGGTCTCCTCTTTAGCTACTCGTTCACCTGTCATGAAATTGTCAAGGTAGACGTGCCACCAACACCTGCCGCCCGAAGCACCTTTCAGCGCAGATGTCAGCCACTGAGGCAGTGGTCTGTTTCGCGCAACCTGCTCAGATTCAGCAAGCAGCAATTCCTCACTAATCTCCTGCATGACGCTCACCGCACTGGCCCAGCCCATTGGCAAAACACTGCAGGCCAAGTAAAAACTTCTCTTGGGGTTTCGTCCAATTTCGGCCCCGCCAACCTTCAGATTGAAGCATAGGTACCGACGCCACTATGGAGGCAAACTGAACAAATAAAAAGCACTGGTCATGTCAGACTGAAATAGTCTCAGTGTTTCACCTGAGTCCAAAACTACCGAGAGGTACAGCACGCCGCTCTTTGCCACGCCAAATAGTCCGTTCAGAATTCGCTCGTTGCGGTAGGTATACACCTCAGATTCTTCCACCCAATCGCACACTCCACGCTCAACAAGCGCCAGGGCAATCCCTAGCTTATCTTTGTCCTCGATGTGAACCTTTGCCTGGAGCTTTGGAAGTTTCTGACCTTCATCCTTTAGCACGCATAGTTCGGGCCTAAGCAAAAACAACCTGGTCCTACCTTTAACCCAGTTGACAACAGGAATAGAACCGCCGTGCCCAACCGGGGGCAACGCAGGCAGAACCCGTTCCAAACACAACGGCTCCATTCGAGCCACTTCTTCCCCTGTATAGCTAACAAACCTCGCACTTAGCTCTTTTTCCACGACCTCTGGCGATCGCGGTACCGGCGTGTCTAGCCGCAGGACTCTCTGTACAGAAGACCGCAGCGTTGAAATCGCGGTCAAATCCCCACGGCGCCAGCGGCCCTGAGGCACGCCACGGCGGCCATGAAGGTGATTGCAAAACATCACCGATAGAAAGACCCAGCAATCCTCACACCAGCGGTCGCTGAAGGTCTTCTCGATGACGTCCAAAAGGGCAGAGTCGCCCAGTGCATCGACCACTCTGTCCAGCTCTCCAAGCCGGAGAGGAAAGGACTCCCGCTTGGGAGTCCGATGCACGGCACTTCGGCCAGCACCTCCCTGAGCCGTCAACCACTGGAAAACGTTCCACCGTTCGGCCGCTTCCCCCCCCGGCACGGCATGTACTACCAGCCAGGCAAGGATGCAGCCAATTCTGCACAAACTGTAACCTTCTGCCACCACCATCTTCAGGCCATTGAAGCCTTCCAGCTGCAGGTCGCTAGCAAGGGACGCACGGCCAGTGCCAGCATCCCCTACTTCGCAGCTTCCGCGCCGGGCTTCCCCGGCTTGTCTTTTCCTGATCCATCTGCCTTCTCCTTGTTGTCGGCCCACCAGTTCCTTCCACTGGTTCTGCGACCACTTTCCTCCCTTGTTCCAAGTCTCCTCGCTTCGGCCTCCTTTGCTGCTGTCCTTTCCCTTTCCTGTCTTTCCTCCTTTTCCACCTCCTTTGCTGTTTTGGCCCCGTCTCCAGGGCTCTCCTTCTCCTCTGCGCCTGCTCCACTCTTCTGCTCCGCGGCTCTTCTCCACCATCTTGCCGTGCTTGCGCGCCTCCAGGAGAAGCGCCGTAGGCGCGCCTTGAGCAGCCTCCAGCGGGTTCATCTCCAGGTATTGTGCCGACCTCCATGTACCGTCGTTCACTGCGGTATGGATCGCCAGAAAGCGGCTCGCCAAGGAGTCTCCTAATCTCCCGAGGTCGCCAATAAGATGCTAGCTTCACACCCGTGGTGACCCCGGCCGCTCCGGTCGAAACCAGCGCCGTCTGGTCCATCACCGCACGGGCGTAATCCACCAGCATCTTCAGCACCGCTCCCGGTTTCTTCGCGGAGCGTTTTTGTAGTGGGGCCAGCATCTCGGAGGAACTGCTCTCTGCTTCCTCCTCCTCGCTCCGGCTCGTTCCTCCCGAGCCAGAGGAGTCCCCCGAGCTGCCCGGCCCCGAGCCGTCTCCATGGCCCTTCTTTCCTTTCCTCTTTTTCCTCCCCTTCTTCTCTTTCTTTTTCTCCTTCACCTCTTTCTTCACCACATCCTTCTCCTTGTGCCTCCGGCCGGCTTCCTGCGTCAGAAGCTTCACCAACGCCTTTACCCCTGAGGGCCCATCGCCTTTTCTTTTCCTCCTCTTCTTCTCCTCTTTCTCTTCTAAGTCCGCATCCCTTGCTTGCTCGGCCTGAGCCAGCAGCTGGTCTGCTGGACTTCTCCTCACCTCTGATCTCTCCCTCTTTCTCCTCACCTTCTGTTTCCTCCGTTTCATGGGGTCCCCTTCCCCATTGGTAAGGGCCAAGGCGGTGCCTCCGCCAGTCAGCCTCTCTCCTGTAACCAATCCGCTCTCCTCTTCCGCAAAGCCTGAAAAGGAAGCCTCCTCTGACTCCTCCTCGGAACCAACCAGATCCACCACTGCGGACCCACCTGAGCCCTTGCCTCGTCCGGCCAACTGCTGACGGAGGCCCTTCAACTTGGCCTTCAAGATCCCTCTGCCTTCGGAATCCTTGCGCTCTTCTGTAGGTTTCTTTGGCTTGACTTTCGGGGGCCTTTGCTACATTCTTCGCCTTGGGCCTCTTTCCACCTCTAGGGTGGCCTCCTCGTCGACCTTCTCTAAGTACTCCTTCAGCACCATCCTTCCCCAAGGGCTTATGTAGGGTGCCACGAAGGTACTGCCCTTCCACCAGCGAGCCTTGGTAGCATGGACCAGGCCTTCCTCGTCCAGCTCTGCGCACGGGGAGGCCCAGCACAGATGGACGTGGCCGCTCTTCCGGTTCAGGGCGGTCGACAGGAGCTTGTTCGCCTCTTCGGAGGAGCTGCCGATGAAGCGGCCAGCAAGGTGCAGCCCTGCATCCCCGGGTGCACGTACCACGGACAGCACCAGGAAGGCTGCGACCTCGCCGACCGCCTCCGCAGCCCCCACCAATGTAGTGTCGAACTCCACCACGTCTCCACTCCTTGGCACAAAGCTTTTCCATATTGCAAGGTCGTCTAAATCTATCCACACGCCTTCAAGAACTTCTCCTCTGGTGGCCTCTTCTTCCGCCATTGCTACTTTCGACGGGGTCCTCCACTCCTCTCCAAGGGTGGCCTCTCGTCCAGGAAACTGTCTGGCGAGGTGCGGTGGACTGATAGGAACGGATCCTCCGCAAGCCTGGACAGTCGCTTGTGCTTCCTCCCTCCTCTCTTTCTGCCTTTAGTCTTCTTCTTTTTCTTTTTCTCACCTTTTTCCCCAAACAGTTTACTGTAGGGGTTCTCAGTTCTTTCTTAAGAGGTGTCCGCCCTTGTGTTACTGGCCGTGTCCGCCTCTCTGGGTCTGTCGCTTCGTTTGTCTCCCTTCATTTGTCTCCCTTCATGTGTCCTTCTGGGTGGTGGTGTCCGGCTCTCTGGGTCTCTCGCTTTATTTTTGTCTCCCTTCATGTGTCCTTCTGGGTGGTGGTGTCCGGCTCTCTGGGTCTCTCGCTTTATTTGTCTCCCTTCATGTGTCCTTCTGGGTGGTGGTGTCCGGCTTTCTGGGTTTCTTCCTTTATTTGTCTCCCTTCATTTGTCTCCCTTCATGTGTCCTTCTGGTTGGTGGTGTCCGGCTTTCTGTGTTTCTCCCTTTATTTCTCTCTCTTCATTTGTCTCCCTTAATGTGTCCTTCTGGGTGGTGGTGTCCTGCTCTCTGGGTCTCTCGCTTTATTCTACCTTCATTTGTCTCCCTTCATGTGTCCTTCTGGGTGGTGGTGTCCGGCTTTCTGGGTTTCTCGCTTTATTTGTCTCCCTTCATTTGTCTCCCTTAATGTGTCCTTCTGGGTGGTGGTGTCCGGCCCTCTGGGTCTCTTGCTTCATTTGTCTCCCTTCATTTGTCTCCCTTCATGTGTTCTTCTGGGTGGTGGTGTTTGACTCTCTGGTGTTTTTGGCTTTATTTGTCTCCCTTCATTTGTCTCCCTTCATGTGTCCTTCTGGGTGGTGGTGTCCGGCTTTCTGGGTTTCTCGCTTTATTTGTCTCCTTTCATTTGTCTCCCTTCATGTGTCCTTCTGGGTGGTGGTGTCCGGCTCTCTGGGTTTCTTGCTTTATTTGTCTCCCTTCATTTGTCTCCCTTCATGTGTCCTTCTGGTTGGTGGTGTCCGGCTTTCTGGGTTTCTCGCTTTATTTGTCTCCCTTCATTTGTCTCCCTTCATGTGTCCTTCTGGGTGGTGGTGTCCGGCTCTCTGGGTTTCTCGCTTTATTTGTCTCCCTTCATTTGTCTCCCTTCATGTGTCCTTCTGGGTGGTGGTGTCCGGCTTTCTGGGTGTCTCGCTTTATTTGTCTCCCTTCATGTGTCCTTCTGGGTGGTGGTGTCAAGCTCTCTGGGTCTCTCGCTTTATTCTCCCTTCATGTGTCTCCCTTCATGTGTCCTTCTGGGTGGTGGTGTCCGGCTTTCTGGGTTTCTCGCTTTATTTGTCTCCCTTCAGTTGTCTCCCTTCATGTGTCCTTCTGGGTGGTGGTGTCCGGCTTTCTGGGTTTCTCGCTTTATTTGTCTCCCTTCATTTGTCTCCCTTAATGTGTCCTTCTGGGTGGTGGTGTCCGGCCCTCTGGAGCTCTTGCTTCATTTGTCTCCTTTCATTTGTCTCCCTTCATGTGTTCTTCTGGGTGGTGGTGTTTGACTCTCTGGGTTTCTCGCTTTATTCCCTAAACACCCAGAGGCTCGAAATCCTCGATTTGGAGTCAAAAATGCGTTTTTGACATCAATACCAGTATGCAGATAACGCTATTTGAACAAAATCTCGGATTTTCATTAAAAAAAAACGATTTTTCATTGAAAAGTGGGATCATGATACCGGTATTCATGCTGATAACGTTATTTGTATGGAAAGTGTTATCGGAATGTGGTTTACATGTTTGTCATGGCAATATATACTAATATATATATATATATATACATATAGAAAAAACATCTGATGCGAGGACGCGTTTATACATAATTATGAGCAGATGTGGGGCCTTTCGGCCCCCAAACCTTGGCTTTTTCAAGCCACATATTGTGTGGGTGTGTTTCTTTTGTCTTATCTCCAGCGTGCCAACCGCACGCTTAATGCCATTCGATAATTTTGTAACACCTTGCTACCTACCAGGGTCAGCGGTGTGCCAGCAATGCACCTTTGGGCGCATTGCACCAGACGACCCATGAAATCTTCATAGCGATAGCACCAAATATGGCTAGGAACGAGCCCCAGGTGATCGACCACTAAATGTTCAAAGTAATGGCCTTTGGCTGGGTAACCAAAGCGGAGTTTTCCAGCGTCTACTGCCATGGCTGCCAAAGCTATGTATGACACCTGAAAGTTATACATGGTGATGATTAAATATTCGAAATCATCTTTGGGCCAGAACAAAAATTGGCACGCACGTGATCCTCAAATACGGTCATGGCAGTCAAGCAGTATGTGATGTGAGCGCTTTGCTCAGATGCATCGCGTTTCTTGTTGTGGAGGTGAAGAACTGCGGGAAGCAAAGAGACACTTCCGAAGCTCTCACATGCTTCAGCTCCGCGTATTTCTCAGCCGTGCTCATGTACATATTCGGTGTCAAGTTGTGAAGAGCCACAGGTGTACCTAGCATGGCATGGGTTGCGCCAGTACACCTTCACTGTACTTGGCCTCCACTTTGCCACTGCGCCAATCCATATTGCAAATGCTCTTGCTGCTCACCCGCGGACCCATTGATGAGAGTCCCAAACCTGCCCCATAGGCAGCTCATCTCACTGGGATCGAAAAATCGTTTCATCTTGGCAAACATGGCTGACGCATCTTCGTCTGGCTTCACGGCCGCTTTGAACTTGGCAAGCTTTTTGTCCAATGGCTTGATATTTGGGTCTGCCAAGAATTTCTCCAACTCTTCCTTGTTTTCTGGCAGTGGGGCCATGGGATCTGCAGCTTTGTCATCAGCAGGCACTGTTGCAGCAGCAGGCCGCTTCAGAACTGGTTGCTCATCTTGTTGACAACGCGTGGCTGGGCGCTTCATTGCTGCAGGCATGGCGGCTACTACAAGAGACTATGGCGTTCAAAATAAAGTACCAAAGCTGCGCTATGCAGGCAGTGATGTCATCCGTTCATTCATTCATTCATTCATTCATTCATTCATTCATTCATTTCATTCATTCATTCATTCATTCATTCATTCATTCATTCATTCATTTCATTCATTTCATTTCATTCATTCATTCATTCATTCATTCATTCATTCATTTCTTTCATTCATTCATTTCATTCATTCATTCATTCATTCATTCATTCATTTCATTCATTCATTCATTTCATTCATTCATTCATTCATTTATTCATTTCATTCATTCATTCATTCATTCATTTCATTTCATTTCATTTCATTTCATTCATTCATTCATTCATTCAGCAGCAGCGAAAACCCGTGTTCTGGGAAGAGGCAGTGGGAAATGTGCAACATGGAGAAACGAAGTTTCATTTTAGTTTCAAAGCAGTTCTGTTTCCAAACTCAGCGGACCAGGTGGCTGCATGGACAGGAGAAAAAAATCTACCTATAGGGCCGCGTTGCAATTGCGTCACTTTGCAGCGCTGTTGTCTGCAGAGACTTCAGGAATACTGCGCGAAAAGCTTTTCCCTTCACTACACCTCAGTCGCAGCCTTCCGATTGCAAGCGCGCTGCCCATCATGGAGCTCACAAAGGCAGTCTGCAGAGATACAATGCAAGGCAAGCTGATCTTTCCTCAGGTATGTGTTTGTGGCGCCTGGCCAGGGAATTGAAGGGAAAAACATGGGAACAGAGGCAGCCAAGTTTCTCTGGCAGTCCAGACCTCTATGTAGGCCATATAGCAGGACAAGCATATGCGCTCGTCAGCGAGAAGCTTCAAAGACTCGATCAAAGCGTTGGTGGCCATGATCTCTCAAGATTTGGGCAGCTGTTCTCAAGTCCTAAACCAAAAAAAGGCTGAGGCGCCAAATGTAACTGACATAAGCACACAGAGATTGTGGAAGAATTTCTGTCTGCAGTCGTCTTTGCTGGAAGGGCGCAAAAAACGAGGTCAAAGCTTTACCTTGCCCTAAGCCTACCTGTGGGAACTACTCACGCTCTTTGCAAGCTTAGACATTGGGCCCATGCAGATGTTGGGCCTTTTCAGGCCCCAGATGTCGGGCCCTTGCAGGCCCCAGATGTTAGGCCTTTTCAGGCCTCAAGGCTGGCAAGAAAAAAATTAAAATTTCTGATTGGACTTTCAAAGGAATTGGGAAACTGTAAAATCTTATAGATGTCTTATAGGCGTCGTATATATGCATGTATAAGACGTCTATAAGACAACTATAAGATTTACAAGTCCGATCGGAAATTTCCAAAATTTTCTCGCTCCGATCGGAAGCGCGTCACCTTTTTTTATACCACTCTGCAGCTCTTCACAGTTATCTACTTCTTGACCTTGAGACCAGTCTTCTTCTTCTTCTTCTCGCCTGTCTTATTCTTCAATCTCTTCTTCGGAGCAGCTTTGGCCTTCGGCTCAGGCACATTCCCTGCCACAAACAGAGCAACACTCAAGCGCTCATTGTCGGGGGGCGTGGTCGTAGCTTCTCCAGGACTCCAGTAGGCACCATTGGGGAAGCCTTGGGGGTAGTACCAGCAGCGCCACCAGGCATCTCGTCATTGGAGTCTGCTTCGGCATATGGGGGCGCTTCATCATCGCCCATCCAGCTGATCTCCTGCAAACGAACCAGTCTGATCGAGAATGACTGCAATCTTGGACCACAAACCTTATGTGCACTATATTATGCATGCTGTGCCTTAGTCATTTTCCCCAACGCAAAACAGCAAAAATATATATGTAATACACATGGTCATGTTCGGGGGTTCATAAACTGAGTAGGTTGATTATCACGGACTTTGCAGTCCGCATCTTTGCTCTTTTTGCATATTTCCAATTCAGTCCTTCTCACCAGTGTCTTTGCCACCGTTCCTGGAGCATGCTCGGTTTCTGCAGTGTTTCACCGTAGCGGTCCTCAACGTGGAAGTCCTGAAGACAAAGCATATCTTCCTGCACACATTGCACCTGGCGTATGCACTGCCTTGTTTGGCACCGGAACCGCGAGACCAAGGGCGGTATTTCTGCCCATCCCACCACCAGTTCTTGTCATCCGTCTTTGGAATTTCTGCAGCAGGAGCGTCCGCAGGCATAGCGCCGTGTCCAACACCATGATCTGCAGGCACAGGAGCATTGGTAGCGGCAAGAAACGAAGGACTGGTATCTGCCCTCCAAGGAGGCATTGGCACTGCTTCTTGCTGCTGAAACACAGCTTGAGGAACAGGGCCCACGGGCATATGCATTGGATGCGGGCTCATCAAACCACACGGCTGCATGGGTACCATCTGCGGTGCGAGCCCTGGGGCCATAGGCACTGCACTGGGATGTACGTGAATGTTGGCGCCAAACGACTCATTGAGTAGCTGCTGTTGGAGCCACGTAGTGTAAGGCACACGTCCTGAGCGGAGGGTGAACAAAACATCCCCACAAAAGAAATAAGGAAAGCCAGGCTACCATTTTTGAGCACACTTTCAGGACAAAAGGTATTCCAAATACATGGTGGGTGCCGTTAGTTTCACTCATCCGCAAGGCGCGCATGTGATCTCTCATCATGTTGCTTTGGAAACCAGGCATATACAGATGGGGCACAAATCGCTCAGTGCGAAGATCTGAGCACAGAGCTGCCATACAAATCGTCAATGTCTTGCCCACAGGAAACAAACTGAGTCAACAAGTCGTTGCAGAATGGTTGCCACAAGGAGCTGGCTGCCAGGTGGCGACTCTGCCGCATCCACACGAATCAGTAAACCCAATTAACTGTACACCTGTTCAAAACAAACAGTTGAAGCTAATACATGTTGAACCCAAGCAAAAAAGGCCTTTGCAGGCCTCACAAACGCGGGCCTTTGCAAGCCCCACAAATGGTTTCTGCACGGCTGACGCAACAATGTTTTCCCCAAAGTGGCTGTTTCTACGCGTGTCTAAAGAATATACGACACTTGCAAATTATGAATTTGCCTACGTGAGAAATCTACAGTGCATGACTAAGCCAAGCCTTATTTTGCAAAGTCGTCCAATCCATAGGACGACAAGAGATTAGAAGCAGTCGCTTCTGCTACCACCCTTCCAAAATCTTCCGGGTATGCTTGAGATGCTTTCAGAACAGTTTTCAAGCCTGTCACAGCTCCCCCGGGGCCTTTGCAACAGAGTTGTTTGAACTCAGTTCCTCCAGGGATGCTGTTGCAGCCCCCACATATAGCACACCAATCTAGAACTCACGCATCCTCACAAACAAAGGGCTTTGCAGCCCCCACATACCAGTCTGACATACAAATACTAAATATATCTAAATATAATTGTGAACAATATCATATATTATCTATATAACATGCTCCGATCGGAAAGTGTTATGCAACATGCTCCGATCGGAGATTAAGATCCTATTTTTTAACTAAAAATGCATTTTAACTTGAAAAGCGGTATCATGATAACACTTTTACATCAAATCCCGGATTCAAGGTCGATAACGTTATTCAAATCGAGGATTTCGAGCCTCTGGGCAGTGTACTGTTAGGGGTTCTGAATGCTTTCTTAAGGTGTCCGCCTTGGTGTTCTCCCTTTGTCTCCGATTGTACCCCTTCTTGTTTCCCTTTGTTGGATGGCGTGTCCGCCTTTCCAAGGGTCTAGCCCCCCTTTGTTTCCCATTGTACCCCTTCTTGTTTCCCTTTGTTGGATGGTTTGTCCGCCTTCCCGAGCGTCTTGTCTCCCCTTGTCTCCCAATATACCCCTTCTTGCTTCCCTTTGTTGGATGTGTCCGCCTTTCCGAGGGTCTTGTCTCCCTTTGTCTCCCAATGTACCCCTTCTTGTTTCCCTTTGTTGGATGGTGTACGTGTCTTCCCGAAAGTCTTGTCTCCCTTTGTCTCCCATTGTACCCCTTCCTGTTTCCTTTTGTTGGATGGTGTGTCCGCCTTCCCGAGGGTCTTGTGTCCCATTGTCTCCCATTGTACCCCATCTTGTTTCCCTTTGTTGGCTGGTGCGTCCGCCTTTCCGAGGGTCTTGTCTCCCTTCGTTTCCCATGGTACCCCTTCTTGTTTCCCTTTGTTGGATGGTGTGTCCGCCTTCCCGAGGGTCTTGTCTCCCTTTGTCTCCCATTGTACCCCTTCTTGTTTCCCTTGGATGGTGTGGCCGCCTTCCCGAGAGTCTTGTCTCCCCTTGTCTCCCATTGTCTCCCTTCTTGTTTCCCTTTGTTGGATGGTGCGTCCGCCTTCCCCAGGCCTTGTTTCCCCGCGTCTCAGTTCTTGTTTTTATTTGTTGGACGGTGCGTCCGCCTTCCCGAGCTCTGTCTCCCCTGGTCTCCCTGCTTGTCTCCCTTGGTTGGATAGCGCGTCCGCCTTCCCAGCTTGTTTCCCAGCTTGTCCACGGGCTGGTCTCCAAGCTTGTCTCCCAGTTTGTCTCCCTCATTGTTTCCCTTTGTTGGATGGTGTGTCTGCCCTCCCGAGGCTTTGTCTCTCCTTGTCTCCCAGCTTCTCTCCCCTCTTGTTTCCCCGCAAAAATTTGTTGGATGGTGCGTCTGCCTTCCCGAGGTCTTGTCTCCCACCTTGTCTCCCATTGTCTCCCTTCTTGTTTCCCTTTGTTGCCTCTTCCCGAGGGTCTTGTCTCCCTTTCTCTCCCATTGTGCCCCTTCTTGTTGGATGGTGTGTCCGAGGCCTTGTCCCCCTGTCTCCCCAGCTTGTCTCCCATCTTGTCTCCCAGCTTGTCTTCCTTATTTGTTTCCCTTTGTTGGATGGTGCGTCCATGTCCTGACGCTTTGTTTTCCCAGCTTGTCTCCCAGCTTTGTTTCCCTTTGTTGGATGGTGCGTCCGCCTTCCCGATGTCTTGTTTCCCCTTGTCTCACATTGTCTCCCTTCTTAATTCCTTGTTGGATGGCGCGTCGCCTTCCCAAGGCTTTGTGACCCTTGTCTCCCAGCTTGTATCCTAGCTT